TTGTCTTCCATGAGTTAAAAAGCATAATAAATGCCAAGTTTGAGTGACAAAACAAGTCAATAAATTGTATCACTTCACCATAGTATTAGTCATCATCCTACTTGCAATTAAATTCATTTCTTCGTTTTGGTGAATATTTATTTCAATTGTATAGTTTAAATTTGAACCTGATTTGATTTTTGTTGGAGTTAGTTGAAGAGAGTAAATGCAAAGAAATGGGATTGTTGAGAGAATCATAAATATTTCGAGCAAGTTACATTGGTATTGACAAGCAAGAAAAAGATTATGTCTGAACATGTTACCAACAGTAGGGCTGTTCGCTTTTAATTTTTTAGTCAGACAAAGATTCCATTATTAAATACTCCTACCATGCTATGCTCATTTACTATTTGTTCATGACCTACGTTTATTAATTTTGTGGAGTTTTCAATAATTTTACTGTAGTCCTTACCGACGTTTTTAAACCCTATGAAATGTAATTGAATCAAGAGTCAAAAGGTTCAAACGGAAATTTAAATTGGAGTTGAATATGAGATCAAATATTAAATAAAAGAGAAATGCTATTCATCCTCACTGGGTATGCATCCTCAGTCTATGTGGTGTTAATATGATATTAAATGATAGGTGAAATTAAATAAGTCATTTAATTTCACCTATCATTTAACCAATCATTTACATCCACATAGACTAGGATGCATCTCCACTAGAGATTAATAGCATTTTTCTAAACAAAAACAACAGGCATTGTTGTAATTAAATTTGGGATTGGCTATATGAATTTCTTCCCGCTACTATGTTGTTTTCTTTGCAAAATGTACTAAGTGCCCGTTTAGCATGACTCTTAGTTTTGCTTTTGTTTTCTATGGAGGAGTTTTTGGAAGAAGTTACCTTAAGTTTTATTTGGAAAATAACTTTTAAAATGACTTCATATTCCGAAAGTGCTTTTAGAGTAAACTACATTGAACTAACTCTCTCTAAAACCTCATCTAACTAGAAGACCTACTTTCATAAAATTAGTCAAACGGATCCAAAATCAACTTTTCAGTTTCAAAAGCTCTTTTTGACTTTTCAAAAGACATACCAAACATGCCCTAAAAGATCTACAAAAACAAAATCCTTAGCAACATGTTTATCTCATTCTAATGTTCATTAGTTGTGGAGCCTAATTATTATCGCTCCGTGGAGCAATTTGCCAATCAACTTCACAGGTAAGGTCGCTGTGTGGCTTGGAAGGGAAAGTAGAATCTCCCGACCAAAATTTCATTAAGGACAATT